GGCATAATGTGCACCTCTGCCTACCCCTTCGGGGATAAAAGGCGTGATGTTATGTATGTGCTAAAATATAAAAGCATAGGAAGATACTTTTCATAAGCTAATAAACTAAATTAAATAAGTTTTTGCCTTGTATAATACGACTTACCTACCCTTTCGTAAGAAACCAATTAGTCACGTCATTGTGAAACCAGTGAAACAAGTGAATTTATTTCTGCAAATAGGCTACAAGGCAGCACTTTTACACGTCAATTTTATCAAGCGAACGATGAGGTCGACATTTCCTAACTGACTACTCTGAGAAGAAATGCCGAAACAAACTCAAACTCAACCCATTAAAATTAATACAATTCAAATCGGACAAACAGAACTTCACTTCTTCACTTAAAGAGGAACAAAGGAATAAAGATGATAATTCTCATTGTCGTAGCAGTTGACTACACCATAGCGTAGGTAGTAGAAGTAGCAGTCAGGCACATAATCAAATCTTCAAGTAGCGACATCTCGTATCGAGCGTTGACAAAAAAAACAAGAAATACTGTTTGATGAAGAACTCGACGTCGAATAACGGCGCGACAATCGCCGCGTCGTGTATCGCGAAATGCTACTCATGAATATAAGCCTCTAGCATGTCTTGAAACTAGTCGAGTTCCTCAAACAGAACCTACGTATGACGAAAGTTATAATAAGAGTAAACACATATTCATCACTCATAGAATTCTTCAAATTTCTCATTTTAATTAAGGTATGGACCGAACGAGATATCAAGCTGTCTAAAATTGGATCAAACAAACACAATGTAATCATCTCCATACTGAATAGGTCCCTACCATGTCCCTACCTATACCTTACCCTACCTGAATAGGTACCTACGTGTTTTGATAGTTCTGGGAATAAAATAATATTCTTTCCTTATTTACATGATTTATTTCCGTTCCCAAAACTAGAAAGTTCAATGCATTTGTACCGTTTATCACCACTGATTTTGGGTAGTGTTGGGCAATACACCAACAAAAATTGAATACTTGGCCTTTTAGTAAAATGTCAAAATATACTGAGCGCACTGTCTGTAATTGTACACGTCAATTACTTTTAGAGTATGAGCATGAAACGATTGGTACCTCGCTCTTTTTTGCTCTTATGGAATAAGTGTACTGCTATCCTGTAGTAATGATAAATTTACCTGTTTCTTCTTGAACCTTATTTGAACCAAAAGCTGTCAATTCGGGATTGCATCGCGCAATACAACGCAATTTCTGTTTGTGTTCAGCCGTAAGTAACTGAATAATTTGTTCATTTATTGTTCTATACCTGTATACGACTAAGTGAAATTATATCCGTTCTCAATGCCCTACATTCTGATTAGAGGTAATTTAGCATCATATGGGCATAAAAACCCGTGGCGTGTTTTGGTATCCGGCTTGAAAGGTAGATGTTGACAAATTAAGAAAAGTAAAATGAGAATTGGAGACAAATAATTGTGTATTCACGAGTGGGCTTAATAATCGGCAAAATTTTAACGAAAGTCCTCTTCTCATTTTATTTATTTTGTTATGAATGTTTGTTTATGTTATTATAGTCATAAATACTGTTTATGTTCAGCTGGCGACATAGAACAACTCAAGAGATTCGCATGTGGGGGCTACTGCGACGATTCAACTATTGTTTATTTACAACATCCTTGTGTTATTTTGAGTGCTCTGGAGGTTTGTTATTACAAATACTATCCAGTCAATGATTTAATATTATTTAATTACATAACAACTCACTGATTCATGTACCTACCTAGTTATGAGTCATATTGTCACAGGTTTAATTAATCAATAACATTACAGGTATTGGGTTACAAGGTTGTAGCGTCTAGCTCCACAGCAGTCAAACAAGATTATAATGAGTATATGTGGACTATGAGGAAAGAGTTTTCAGAACCAGAACCATCAATCATTGTGGAACAAGATAATATTAACAATTTCAGCAAAGAGGCTATGCACTTGGGGAATTACCAACATCAAACAAAAGACGACGAAGTGTAAGCTGCTATCTTATTGATATTTAAATCTTGATCAGTTCCTTTTATTTTGTACTATGGACACTAAGGGCAGTCAAAACCTGTCTCCATGCAACTTGGCGTCAGTACCCTTGATTGAAGAAGATGCAGTTGTTTATATTGCTATTAAAGGATCTCTACATGCAAATGATTGCTCTGTTTTTGGATTAGGAGAAGAAGAGATAAGAGCTCTTTCTAAAAAGTTTCCAGGATCAGGAGTAGTTGTTAACGGTGTTGCCATCAAGTGCAATGTACTTGAGACTCTGAATGCATTGAACCAGTTGGGTTACAAAGTAGTTTCAAGCACTGGCGAAACCGAGATCACTTGGACCCTTCAACGCATTATATAAATTTGCTCCATATATCTGCCCTTTGCATTATTTTTAGTAATTTTCAAATAATTATATAAAGATGGACCATGGAAATAATTGTGATCACTCTAACTGCTCTCATGCAAATGCATCGGTTACTCAAACATTATCAGAAATGCATTGGGAGAGGGGCTTGTGGTATGCAGGTAATTATAATGATGTATTACTAAATCTTAGCCAATAAAAAGTGAGTACAAGTTAACTATGTACTTTTTATCAAATAACTACCATCCCATGATATGCACTATCTCATTTTGTACATATTCTGATAAGATTGCCTACTTACTTCCAAACAGTTAAGCAATATTAAACAAATATAATGTTATTTCAGCCTTCTATGGGGATGAAGAGAGAGTTAGATCTCTGATTGCTAAGGCAGACAATGCCAAAGGAATAGTTAACACACCAGATAACTCTGGATATACACCATTGCACTACGCTGCACGTAAAGGACATGTGGATATTTGTAAGATATTACTGCAAAATGGAGCACTGATTGATGCAAAAACTAAGAGTGGACAAGCTACACCCCTTCTCAAAGCTGCTGCTGCAGGTAATCATTCATTATTTCATTTGTATTACATAGAAAATAGAAAACTCAAATACCCAATAAGTCTTTAAATCACGTCTCTGACAATTAATAATTTATAGGTGAACTATAATGCCTTATCAATTAATCACGGAGAATGCAACTCAATACACAATAGAATTTGAGATAAGAGCTAAAGCAATATTGATTAGCAATTCCATGTGTTAATGATCATGTCCATTGTACTGAAACACTATTGTGGAGTGGACAGTTAACTTTTGAAATTGTTTTAGGTAAAATTGAAGCAATTAAATTTCTTATTCACTCTGGGGCTTGTGTTGATGAAAAAGATGCCGATGGGCAAACCATTCTTCATAAAGCAGTAGAAAACAAGCACTTTGCTCTAGTGAATTTTTTGATGGAGACATATCCTAAACTGAGCACCATGCAGGACATTAAAGGTAATTGTCCATCTGATTATATGTCTGGCTCTAAGGAGTGATTTACGAAAAATGGCTTAAACATATTAATCATTATACACCTAATACTAGATTATATTTCTAGTGAAGTGTTTATTGTTACAATATTGGAATTAATTTATCCTTAGATTTATTTGCATTATTAAATTTGCCTAAATAGAATGTTATTGTATGTATATTAGGTATCTTTTTAAATGTGCTTTATCTTTTGCTGTTATTAATATTTAAAAATGTTTATTTTATGTTAACATTCCCAATTTTTTACTTTTGTTTTGTCAAATTTAGTAGTAGCGAACTTGATATCTAATTGTGATTAAAATAAGTTAAAAGTTGCCATTAGAGGTATTCACTTAAAAAGAGTATTTGTCTAAAGTAGTATTTATATTTAACTATTTTAACACTACTTATTCCATAATAATTTAGTCACTAATCACAATTTTGAAAATATGATGTTTATGATAGACAAAATAATGAATTTTAGTAATTATAAATGGTAACACAAAAGAATATTGTTACTATTATCATTTTTTTGTGAACTAACACGTAAGTTAACATTTTTAGTCTATAATAATCTGGATGGCTCACGTTTTTACCAAAACTTTTATATATTTTGGAATTTTGATAATTGTGGGTAGTTAATTAAAACTCACCAATTTCGTATATATGTACATTGTATTAACAACAGAATAGGTATGTTACAATTTACTCACCCTGTGTATATGTAGGCTTAAAAGCAACTTAGTGTTGCCTTATTCTATGTATTATAATTATCAGAATTCATATCATTTATTTTATTACTAATTGTATTAATACATGTCTTAGTTTAGGACTAGATTCTTACTTCAAACAATTCACATTATTTGAACATTTCACAGTTTTAAAAAAGGAAATGAGCTGCTGATCAAGTATGAATAGTGTTGTACCCACAGAATTTCCATGACATAATACTCAACAAATCTATGATATAATAATAAAAAAACTACCTAAAACTATGTACTTACTGATTGGTTTGCAAGTACATATACTCTGCAGCTCATTCACTACATAATTATTGCGTGTGTTTTTAAAAAACAAGTGTTATCTCTTACTACTAGGTGTTTTAAACAATTGCAACTCATTTTGAAGATTTTATGGACAAACATATTGTGTCACGTTAAGTATAGTATATAATATTCTAATCAATAAATATTTTGTATTTTACCCTAAGTACACCTTTGTACTACTGTGTAATTTTACTAAATAAAAATGCATATAGATAATATTCGTTTTCCTCAGATTTCAACCCCAAATTTTTAACTCATTTTATATTGGACACACAAACCAATTAAAACTTTCCGCCATGTCATAAACAAGTTAACTGCTGGTGATATGGTATGTGTAGTAATAAATAATTTAAGCAGTAAAATCAAAGTATTCCGTGCCTTCATCTTCCATCATAAGGTATCTTTTTAAACTCTTTGGAAGAGGCAGGGAAGATATGAAGCGGTACAATGTTATGGATGTACTTTGACCTAAGTATCTAATTCTAATCCTACAGAGATCGGAAAGAGTAAGTGGATCTCTACAAACATTATATAACCAACATTTTGTATAATCTGATGCCGGTATTGATGTATCTTTATCTGGGATCACGATATAATGGCCTGCCTTCAATAACATTAATGCTAAGCTATTCGACCTTCTTCTACTTGCTATGGATAAATTGTCTAGACCACAAGCATGTAGATCACACGCATTCACGTCTGCGCCATATCGAATAAGGAGAACTGCTGCAGGATCTCTGAAACCAAAAGTTTGAAATCTTTTAGCTATAGAAGTGACCTAAATTAGACAAATAATAACAATGCCACAAGTAACAAATTTTCAGCTACATTATCTTTAAGAAACTTTAAATTATATAATAAAATATCCTGAAACTTACTTGTGTAATAACAGAGCCCTGTTTAAAGCAGTGTCGCCAGTTAAAGCTGATGCATTCAAATCAATCTTGTAGTCTATTAAACATTTCAACAATTCTTCAAAATCTTCAGGGGAGTCTACACTTTCAACAGCTATGTGCAATGCATTAGCACCTGTTATACTGTTTAACAAATTAGCGTTCGCACCTGTAACATAAATAAATATATTACATAAAGATCATCCATCACCATTTAGAACTATTATTTTTGTACCAGCACATTTTATAGCCACAACAGACAAAAAATACTTTTTCACAGATTGCAATAACATACCTTTACATAATAATATTTTAGCGATTGCGGGCTGTGATAGTCGTACCGCCAAAAGCAGTGGCGTATCACCATTGTCGTTATACAAGTTTATCCCGGCACCGTAAGCTGTAAGCATTTTTACTATTTCCATCTAAAAACAAATGTTTGATAAATCAGTTCTTACATTTCTTCGAAATATTGCTTGGCAATGAAAACAAAGTATTTATTATTGCAGTGTCAATAGTATCCATTAGCAACATATTAACAATTTTAAATAGTCAAATCATGAGTAGCTCACCTGTCTTTGAATTATTGCATTATGTAAAAGCCTATGAGAGTGAGTAATTCTAGCACCAGATAACAGTAAAAGTTCTACACCCACAGCATACTTTTGCCATACAGCTTCACAAAGAGGCGTATATCCTAAAATAAACATTACACACAATTATAACAATGTGGTTTATTCTGCAAATATTGTATGTGCAGACACATTAACATCATAATCAGTTTACACAATTCAAATTTAGTTTTACCATGGATCTCTTCACTGTTTACATTAGCACCAGCATCAATCAGATATTTCATCAAATCCATATGCCCACGACCAGATGCTATGTACAGTGCTGTCCTCTCGTTTGAATCTCTTGCTTCTAAACTTGCACCATTACTGACTAGAATTTTTACCTAAAAAATATTATTTTCATTAATACCTTCAATCATCCTTCATAAAGTACCTAACTTGCAACTAACATTAAAACAAATGTTACTTTACCAAATCTAAGAAACCTCTTGATGCTGCAAAATGCAAAGGTGTCATACTATCATAGGTTTTGTGGTTAACATTGCTCCCAGAATTTATAAGTATCTTCACAATATCAACATAATTTTTGATAACTGCAACATGTAAAGCTGTCACACCATCTCCAGTTTCAGCATCTATTTTACACCCTGTAAAAATAAGTATTTATAGTCAGAATTTTAACTCATCGAGTACCGGTTTTGTAGACACAATTATAGAACAATAGGTTGCGGTCACCGGTGACCGCTTGGTGTTTGACAGTTTAATTAGATTCC